GCCCCTCCATCCCTGCAGCAGTGAGAAGCCTTAATTTCTGGTACTGTGTGAGCACTCTGGGGGCGTCCCCCTCCCCCTTCAGGGGCAGCTAGAGGATGAGGGGGGAGGGTATTTAGCACTGGGGCCTAGAGCTTCCCCCCATATCCTATCACCCCTAAAATTCAAATGCAGACACTTGAAGCAGCAACTACTGAACCTGGCCCTTACCCCGCACTCTCCCCTGGCTCCTTATGTGCAAACCAAGGGCTGCTTCTGCCCCCACAGCCTGCTCCTGTCCCCCACTTCTAGCCTGGCCCCCAACCACGCACTTTAACCTTGCTTCTTTTAACTTCTTTTTGGGGAGGGGAGCCTGTGGCCATTCCCTCCTTGGCTCTCATCTCCCTGAACTCTGAGGCTTGTCATGAATTTTTAAGTAAGCATTTTATTCTTTAGGGGAAGAAACAAATTAATATCCTGCCCATTTCAAAACTATAGCCCTAGTATGTCCTCTGTGTTTCAGGTGTGTGTTTGCATGTGAGTGGAGGTAGGGAATGTGTTCTTCCTTCTGTGTCCTTCAATCCCAGAGTTCCTCCATGCCCCCTGTCTGTCTCCACTTTCTGTCATGTCCGAGAGTATCCACTGCCCCAGTCACTCCTGATATGAAGCCAAAGATGGTGGGAACAGCAGGGGCAGTGTAGGGACTGCTTGTTGGGGAAGTCAGGCCTTCCTCCAGTGGGAGCAAAGATGGACACTGAGGCTCAGTCCCTGCCTTCTCAGCATGGGGAGAGATGGGTTTGAGCAGGCGCTGCACTGATAGATTCCTGGAATGTACCTGAGAAGCCAAACTGGGTTGGAGTGAGGAGGGGCAGTGTTCTCTTTAAATGTAGCATTGCATCTGGCCCTGGTCCCTTCAGACGCCCTGTCCACCCATCTCCTTGGTGAGCCTCTGCACAGTTGGACTCAGTCCCAAAACCCAGTGTCCCTTCCTCACACGCAATACCTCAGCCAGGGGCCAAGACACAGAACTTGAATAGAGGTCCTGCCCTCTCTACCCCACAGTGCACCCTCGCCCAGTTTGGCTGCCATCAGTATTGCCCCCTGAGAACTGAGAACTGGATGGGCTTCGTTTACACAGTACAGGGGTCCCTCCCAGGGATCCCTCCACCTCCTTCCCCTACCCAAGCTCGCTCTACTCTCATTACCCGTTTTTCAGTTGTGTCCCTTGAATGTCTCGCCACCCTTGCCCAGGGTGAGCTGAGGGGAGAAGGGCTGTCCCAGGGAGCCTTTCCTCCCCACAGATACCCTGCACCATACCTCACGCTGGTTCCCAGAAGCCTGGGGTGTTTGACTTTCCTTTCTGTGGTCCTGTTTATCTCTGTGTCTTTCTGCCCCTACCCCTCAGATCCTAAACCATTTCAAAGCTTCCACATGACCATTATTTGGTGAGAAGGATTGTGCAGCTTTTAGTTTTTATTTTTGTTTTCAAAGCCAAAGGGCCTTGCAGTGCCCCTCTTGCCCGCAACCCTTCATGCCCTCTCCTTCCCTATACGACAATCAATGTGACCTCTCTTAAGGGCTGCCGCCCCCACCCCACCCCCACCCCGCTGGTTCTGCATAGCTTGCTCCCTAACTTCAGTTCTCTCTCCTAAAATCTTCCCATTTCACCCCCCTCCCTCTCATCTTGGTGCTGGGAATTAGGTGGTGGGGGGCATGGGGAGCAGGGAAATGGTTGCCCCAGGGATGACTTGGGGTATCAGTCGTGTTCTCCTTTATCAATGCTTGACCGTGACAGAGGAATCCGACTCAGCGTTTGTCGGGGGTGGGGCCCATTGTTTTGTTTTGCTAGATGAGATTTCTGGTGGTTGTCTGTTCCCTGTTGTCCTGGGCACATTGTCAGCAGTGCTGGGAATATTGACAGGGAGCCCTCTGTCCCTCCTCATGTGGCTATGAGGAGGCCTGGAGGGCGAGCAGCCTCCACTCCTTATGCCAAAGGAAATCCCGCACCCCACCCTGGGCTCCCCAGCCCCTAGTGTTTTTTGAAGCATTTTGACCATTCTCATGGCCACTGCATATTTATTTTAATGTTAAGATTTTTTTTAAACCTCTTTGACTTAAACGGGTGTGGAGAAGTAAAACAGGCAGAATATGCCCCCCAATCTTAAGCGGGGGTTGGGAGGGGAGGGAGCATCTCCTGCCCTCCCCTTCTCTCCCCTCCCCTCTCCCCACCACAGCTCAAAAGCACTTGCTTCAAGTAATAAGCACTTTTGTGAAAAGGCCTATTTCAAGTTAGGACCCTGGGGACAGCCCTAGGTCCCAGCAAAGGAGACAGAGCGAGGGCTACATAGGAGACAGGGAAACAGACATGGGAATCAGAGGACGACATGAGAAGAGCCAGTTTTTAGTTTCTGATTTTAGGGGGTGTTTCTGATTGGGCGGTGGCTATTGTAGGGTTGTGTACCATCCTTCAGAAAAACAAATGGCACAAACTGTGGGTCCCAGGATGGACCAACAGACCCAGGTCACTGCCACTGTCCAACTGAGACTCTAAGACTGGTGGGCCACCTCCCCCACCCCGTGGCCCCCTGAGCCATAGGACTGCTGAAAACCACTGAATGTACAGCCCAGGTTGGGGTGGGGAGTAGCCCCTGGGGGAGGGGGCTTCTCCTTTTGTTTGGTGCTGTGGGGGGTGGGAGACATGAGACTGAGGGACTGCCACCCCATGTAGACATGTGTTCCTTGGGGTGGAGGGGCTGAGGAGGGCCGCCTCCCTCTCTAACCCCAGCCATGGCCCCTCTTCCTTCCTCACCCCTATCCGTTTTGACTGTAAGTCCAGCTCACCTTTGCCTTCAATATGTAACCAAAGGAAAACTCAATACTGTTTCCACCGCTGTCTGCCCACCCAAGCACCTTCCTCCTCCCTGGATGAGAGGGGAGAAGAGGCTGGAGGTGGGGACGGTGGGGCCGGAGTGAATGGTTCTACAACTGTACCCCCAAAACCCTCCCTATGGTCTTGGAAGGGGTCCCCAGGGGCGGGGTGGGCCAGGCTGGCAGGCTGGGAGTGTGCACGCACGTGCGCGCGCACTGTATCTTATGCACAGGAGCGTTTCTCTGTGAAATGACTCCGCTAACTGTGCTCCAGCGGGCAGGCCCCTTCCTTCTTCCCACTCAGCCGCTCCTCACCCTGTCCCACACCCAGCGCTCATTCCCCGCCCCCTTCCCCTCTCCCACCGCAAAGGAAAATAGCCTTACAGACCCTAGCCCAGAAGCCCTGCTCCTGGGGCAGGCCAAGTCTGAACCCTACTGTGGGGGAAGGGGCGGGGGAGCAAAGCAGCCTCTTCCCTTCTGTGTGGCTCCAACCCTCGGGCCTTAACCCAGCTTGGGCAAGGACAGAGGTGCGGGGTCTTTGAGGACCAAGCCCAGTGGTCGGGGAAGAGGGAGGTAGAGAAAGAAGGGTCTGACTTGGGGACCCCTCCTCCCAGCCCAACCCCTGTAGAGAAGCGACCAAATTCCCAGAGATGGGAGGGAGTTGGGGTGGGGAGGGTCTGCTCTTTGAATTACTTGAAGGTACTGACTCCGAGGCTGCTGTTGCCCACGTAGGTGTGAGGGGGACACTGTCACTGCATTTGGGAGGGCAGAGGATGGCGGGTGACGAGAGGACCCACCCTTGGCCCTCGCTCACTCCTGTTAGGCCCTTTCCCTGGGCCCTCCTGTCCCCACCCTCACTCTGGGCGCCCCTCCAGTTGCACTAAAGTAGCTGTTGTGCCAGTCTTACCCATGCCAGGGTGGGGTCTCTGCTTCCAGTCCTTCCTACCGCCTCTGCTCCTACCCTGGACAATCTTGTTCACTCGTATTCCTGGATAGCTCAGCTTCGTGTGCGTGGGTGTGTGGGTGTGTGTGTATGGTGGGTGGGTGTGTGTGTGTGTGTGTGTGTGTGTATGTTTCGGGGGTGGGTGGGTTTGGCTGGAGTGGGTCTGGCAGGGGTTTGGGAAGGGCTAGGGGAAAGATGGAGGACGGTATCTCCTCCACACCTCCCCAACTCCAAGCCGCAGAAGCC